AACAAAACCAACAACATAATATTCTATATAAATTTAACTATATAACGTCTTCTATATGTTAAAGTTCATTATATTTTAACACCACAGGAAATGCAGGCCTGTTACAGTCAACAAATGAAATTTGTCCCCAATGTTTTTTCTGCCGTACTCAACAGTGTGCTGCCATAAATTTGTAATTCTTTAATCTGAACATCATTTATATTTCAACAGAATATGTAGTTTCCTGAAATAGATACTTTCTTGTTAAAACAAAATGTACACAATCGTTGTTTACATGCCTTACCATCTATAAGCAGAATATGAAAGTAGGACCTTTCAACCATTATGCAACTTCATAAAAATTATATTATCCAACTTCGCAACTTTAAAAAATTGATTTGGTTTCTGTACCTAGTGTACAAATCTGAGTTCAAACGTCTCTGCCTGTTTCAAAAAAACAGTGTTAAATAATCGGTTAATAGTACACTTTAAGTACACAATCAAGTCCAACATAATAACAAACCATTTATATAATACCTTTATTCACTAAATAAATAGCATAGGTTCATTTGACAAATTAGCATTAGTTGGTAATTCAGTAATTCAACAATGGATCCCATGTTTAATATAACGCTGTGTTCATTAACAAAAAGAAACTCAAACATACAAGAAAAACTTAACAAGGTCTCTGCTCTACAGAGCCAAGGTAGAATAATTACACAAAACAATTATAATCAGCTACAACACAAAAGGTTACTACATGGAAGCTCAGCATCCAAAAATAGTTGGCACTTTAAATATGTGTATGACAATGTTCATGCTCTCTCTGTTCAAGAAAGTAAAGAAAGAACGATTAACAAAGGCACAGAAACATCAATATCCATGTGTTCTCTACTCACAAACAATTAGCAAAAACACAGAAACATCAATGTTTATGTCTTCTCTACTCAAGGAAGTAAAGAAAAACAATTAACAAAGGCACAGAAACATCAATATCCAAGTGTTCTCTACTTACAAACAATAAGAAAAAGCACAAAAACATCAATGTTTATGTCTTCTCTACTCAAAGAAGAAAAGAAAAAACAATTAACAAAGGCACAGAAACATCAATATACATGTGTTTTCCACTCAAGAATGTAATAAACACAATTAACAAAGGCACAGAAACATCAATGTCCGTATGTTTTCTGCTAAAGAAAATGATGAAAAAATTAACAAAGGCACAGAATTAATATCAATTTTCATTTCTGTGGTCCAATCCAACATTAGATTTTAAAACTTTGGAAAGTTAGACATGGAAACTTTGTTATATGTGATGCAGCTTTACATGTTCATAGATCAATGAGCCAACAACAATTTATGTGATTTACATTTAGATATTCACAAGAACCACAAATCATAACCGAAGTTTATAATCTTTTTTAACATTAAAAAAATGAAACAATTCAAAGCAGCTTATTCAAGATGGCTAAAGTGAAAAGTAAAACTAAATGTGACTTCTATTGTTCTAGCTGACACACAGAGTCTTACTTTCCACACACTGAATAATTCAAACTTACAATGATTATTTAAAACAAATCACTTTTTGACCATTATTTCAAACAAGGATTTTCACTGTCCAACTCCTTTCAAAATTACTCAAGAGATTTATGTTGCAGACATAGAAATCATTATTTCTATCTATAGCTCCTCCTATATTTACTAGGGCAGTATACAGCATGTGGAATGGAAATATATTTGCCACAACTTCACTTTAATCAATTAAAAAATATATAGTTTTGTCAAGGTGTTCAACTATATTGTGGGCCTCAACAACGTTTTCTTTTAATTAGAAAACATTATTTTCTAATTTAAATATATATATATATATATACACACACACAATGTTGATTTTAGATACACTTAGACTTATCAACATCAAAAGGGATAAAGCTGTATAAAATGGTTTGTGAAAATCTGAAAATCAGTTCAATCTTCTTACCAACACACTAAATAATACAGACTAACCCCATAAATTACTTAGGATAAAATGCTATTGAAATTATTTTGAAATAATATCACAAGTATGGCAGTACTTATAGTAGGAATGGGCCAAATGTACAATACAAATTAAAATCTCAAACACACTGCAAACAGAATGTAAACAAAACTTTATAAGCACTTTACACACACTGTTGGGTAGTAAACAAATCAACTGCAGATTAACAAGCCACCAAAGCACTTGAGAAAGCTGGTAGAGTAAAAACAAAAACTTCAAAAAACCACAAATTTGTCAATCTGACTGACTAACGTTGTTGGAAAAGCATAGCTCTCTCCTGCCTTCACCTTATGCAAATCTAAATGCACAAGATTGAATTATGCTCCATTGGCTAAAGGTATTTTTCTTTTTTTACTTATAACCTTGGTAATAAAAACTAATAACGATAAGAATTTTGCAACACTACTAACGAACTAACAATACACTAGTAGCCATTTTCTATGATTATGACCACACTCAGTGAATTTTCAAGTGACAACCCACCCTCATATCACATGCTAGTGCATGATTTCTTATGCATACGGGCTACGTGATCAGCCTGCAGCTAAAGAAAAAAACATGGACTATGTAGATTCTGTAGATCTAGGTTCTAACTATGATGTAACCCTTGAAAGCAAAGTTTTCAGTTCTATACATATGACTTGAGGGTTATGTGTTGAACAAAGCAATTCTATCATAGCCATTGGTGCCTAAGACATGAGTTTCCTACTGAGGATGAACACTACCTATGTCAAAGTCTGACACGGCTTTGCTTGGGTGCTTTATACTGAAAACAAGAATGATAAGTTCTACAATTTACCTTTACATTGTTTTCAAACAAAGTGTGACTTATTGGCATCTAAGGTTGTACTTGAAACACTGCAATTTTTAAAATATGCTTTTCAAGAAACAATACGAGAGAAAAGAAGGAAATCTTGAAAAGGTATTGTCCCAGTGAAGAGAGCATTACTACAAGAATAGAGATAAGGTTAAAAACACTAATGATGAATATGCAAAACAAGCCTTAGTCATTAACACAGCCAAAGAAAAGGCTGCCACCTTGGCTAGATGGAAGAAAGACTACAGCAAAGATATCAGAAAAAGCCAAGAAATGTCGAGAGATAGCTCTAAGAAAAACTATGGGAAAGTTAGGTCTAGAGCCCAGTCACTCACGAGACTTAGTACCAAAAAATGCTATGAGACAATTGTAAAAAGTATTAAATAAAAAATTAGTATTTAGGAATGGGAGCACCAATTATAGATTTGAACTAAATTTTATCAGTAGCTAAGCCTTTCTAAGTACTCAACATATTTAAAAATTTCAAAAATTAGCAGTTTTGATACTATTCTTTTGGCCTACCTCTTACCTGTCAGATAGCAATAATGTCTCCCATAAGCAAAGTATGACTATTGGAGCTTCCTGTCTCACTTCCAACATCAAACACCCCCCTTATGTGATGTCGGGCATTTCATTAGGGTCACATAATTCGATTACATACATGTATCTGTACTTGGTCACTGAAACAAAGTTTACAACAGAGAAATTTAGCTGTATACACCTTTCATTTGGTTTGAACAAGTACCAAATTATAAAAAATACACAAAGTAGAAATGGGCAGAACGATAGCCACACCCAATTTGAGGTTGCACCGTGTCAAAAACCACCAAGTGTTGTAATGTTATCCCACCTATTCCTACCTTGTTTCCTTACTCTTTGGTGCTCCCATTCCTAATTCTTTATTTAAAATTTTTTACACTTGTGTAATTATGCAAGATGTAACGTTAAAAAAAAGTTCAAATCTATCAAAAATTGCACTTAACATCGCTGCTAACCCAAACACGTGTTTTGTTAGATGTCAAAACCTCTAGATGGTTATTGATAAACCGTGAACTAAAAATATTTAGGTCTGAGCAATGTATTTTATGAAAATGACACTTTTCAGCAAGTTTACAATGTAAACAAGGCAGTGTCCTAAATAGATTCTGAAAAACAAATATTACACTTTCAGCAATAAATTCTTGAAGCTGGAACTTTTTGTAGTTATGCAAGCCTTCTATAATTAAAAATATTTCTGCAAACAAAATTATTATTTTATCTTTTAAAACATACAGACACTATAATAGGAAAGGAAGATTAAATTTCACCAAACAGTGGCTTTACAAAAAAAAAGAAAAAAAAAGCTGGCATTATTTATCTTCAAAATATTAACTTGTATTTTAATCACATGTTTAGTTAAAGCCAAATTTCAGTATTATATTCACTGTTATGTCTATATAAATTCACATTTTAAAAATAACAAGCTAGAATAAGTAGTTGTGTAATTAATTCCATCTATGCTGGGCCTGGCATCAGGTGCATGGTGTTAATACATGCTGACTTTCTTCAGTATTGATAAGATATTATCCTTTATAAGCTTTCAAACAAACGGGTCTACAATTCCATAGTTTTTCCAAATACACTCTTCTAAAAACTGTTGTATTCCAATTAAGTTTTTGAATATGACTAAGAACTTTATCTTAGAATTTCATAGCAACACAGACACACATTTACACATCCAATCATCCATGATTTGTTAATAATAATAATCCCTGTAGACTCCCACTGGAGCATAGGGCCCCAACAACACCTCGCCGATGGAAGTTGTTGTTGCAGTAATTTTTTAGCAGGTTGTTTTTATGGGGCAGAGTTGCTAGCCCCGCACCCAACCCTCATCCTGGACTTGGAACCAGGCAATGGTGGTGGCGTCCCTGCCGGGGTCCATGATTTGTTACGAGTATGCAATTGTTTTTCCGTGATGTTTCATATTCCCATGATGAAAGATTAGCTTACAAACTTTAAGCTTTAATCTAGTTGAGTTTACTGTCATGGAAAAAAATTAAGATTTATATATGTTGCAGAACATAACCTATGCATATTACCAAGGTTATGAAACTGACAGTAATAGAGGTGTGGTGTCAGACAAATGTCCCCTCAAGTAAATTTTCACCACGTCAAAAGCAAACAAACAAACAAAACCAGTAATTTTTATTTAATCTATACATTATTTTTTGCACTCATTTACAAACAACTATCACTTCAATTTTTAAACATTATCAAGGCTTATTTAACAAGGGCATTTCTTGCAGACTTTAACTTATCTATTCTCTTCTGGAGATGAGCATTTGCAGTTTCAAGTTCTTCAATTTTGGCCTGAGCTTCTCGAACCTGCATGAATAATACAAAATAACTTAAACATGTATAGCTCAGTTGTTACTTCATGGGTCAATATTGAAGTAGCATATCTATTTAGGAACACACAGTATGAATTACTATATTATTACATTTGATACATTGCTAAAAATGTTCCTCTTGCTCCAAGTTTTATTTCAGTCTTTATAACGTATGAGAATGTATGAAGATGTTTTTTTAAGGTTTGGGATAGTTTTCTTACTTAAATCTCTGGGTGTAAAATCAGTCAAAACACCTTATCAAAAACCAATTAACCTATTACAACAAATAAAACTATACTATTCGGCAAAATATTATGTCACAAATAACTTTTTCTTTTATAAAAATTCTGAAACAAGAGTTAAAAACTACTCAAACAATGCATGTACTAATTGCCAAAATTTACTAACAAAAAACTGATAGCAACGAGTAATGATAATTAAGGTTTATAAGCTGTGATAGAGCATGATGCTTTACATACATTTCAATAACAGAAATCTGTATATAAGAAAATCATACTTTCAAACAAATTATGAAGGTTCTGGTTTCTGAGTATAAAGGTTCCTTACTCAAAAGACTTATAAAAAACCTTTAACCCTTTCATGGCTCTTCACATCACATAACAATTTAGTTTTTCTCACCACCGTTTGAAATCCCAGATGGTATTTGGTTGTATCAGTGACCCATAGACATCATTCCTGATATATATATATATATATATGCACAAACATAGTGAGTTTGTTTGTTTGTAGTTAAGCACAAAGCTACACAATAGACTATCTGCTCTGCCCACCACAGGTATCAAAACCCAGTTTCTAGCTACATAATGAAAAAATGTATATAGTGTAAATATTAAGCATTTATACAGTAGTTTTAGTGATTTATATTAGAGTGCTAAGTGTAATATTTGTACAATATAGTTGTGTTATTCATGCCCAACACTATGCTAGTGCACGAAGTAAGAAATGATTGTGATACCACATCTAGAAAAAATAAAAGACCTGGTCCATCTCCAATCTTATCTCGCAGTCAGTACGGTTTGCATGGAACTAACCAACCCCTTGCTCCCTCCTCACTCAGTGAGTGTATGTGGGGGTTCATAATATCAAGCAATTACGAAATAATTTTAAACATTTATAAAATAATCCAAAGTACTCACCTCCCTTTGCAACTTTCTTTTTTCAGCTTTTAGTTCATCTTCTACTTTCTCTGCATTTTCTGCAGCTGTTTTATACCTTATTACTTGGCTTTCCAGTCGAGATACCTGTTGGAAAGTTAACCACAATATTTTTAAAATGGTAAGAATAATCTTTAAAATACTTTTCAGACTTCATACCCTAGCTTTGCTGACCTGAAAATTTAATATACTGTATGCTATGGCTGTTTTCTTTAGATAGTAGTTATTTGGAGGGAGCAAACCTTATGTCAAACGAAAACACATACATAATTAAATTTATAGCATGAAAAAACAACCATGTAAAAAAACATTACAATTCCTTCAATATTTGAGAGCAATAAAGTATTTTTACAAACTACATAAGAACATACAAAATTAAAAAAAAACAAAAACAATGATCAAATATAGCACTTAATCTCCTGTTTCTTCACTATGTTGGCGTATAGAGGAAACATAGGGGTTACTCAATTTTTTTTGCATTTTGATGGAAATTCCCATATGTTCATAGGCTCTGACTTTTAAATGGCATTTGGTTTTGCCAATATAGGAGGCCTTACAGTCTCCACGTGTGTAAAGATAGACAAGCCAGGAACAATAAGGAATGGGGAGGAGATCTTTAGTAGGGAAAAAATTTTTTATGCATGATGTGGATTTAAAAACTAATCTGAAATCCACTTGAGGGTAGTAATGACCAATTATGCGTTTAAGTTGATTTTTAACATATGCATATCTGAGCTTTCATGTAATAATAATAAAGGCAATCTTAATCAATCCCATGATTTTTTTATTACTAAATTAAAAAATCTTGCTCTGTCTATATTTTATAATTTAATAGTAAGAGAGAACTTAACCTTGTAACCCCTGACGAAATCTTAGCCTTAAAAGAAATGTCACTAAATAAAAACATCCATGTTACATGCCCTGATAAAGGCAACGCCATTGTTATTCTGAACAAAAATGACTACCTTAATAAAATACATGATATTCTGGACGATTCTACAAAATTTAAAACTTTAAACAATGACACTTTATCTCTTAGCATCCAACGTGAGGAAAAAATCCAAAGGTACCTAAGAGAACTAAAGAACAAAAATATTATATCTGAAAATGTTGCTTCTTCGCTTTATCTCACTGGCTCCCGTCCTGGTATGTTATATGGTCTTCCCAAAATTCATAAAGCAGGTTACCCCCTCCAACCCATTCTTTCCACTATAGGCACACCTAGTTACAAACTTGCTAAATTCCTTGTACCTATACTTCAGCCACTCACTACTAATGAATATACTATCCCGGATTCCTTCCAGTTTGAACGTAAACTAAGTCAACAACCCCTATCAGACAATCTTTTCATGGCAAGCTTTGATGTTACCTCCCTTCTTACAAATATTCCTGTAAATGAAACTATTAATATATGTGTATCTGAGCTTTCACGTAATAACATTCATCTAAATGGCTTTTCTGAAAATCAAAATAAGACCATGCTCGATCTTACCGCTAAGAATTCACATTTCCTGTTCAACAACACCTTGTATGAACAAATAGATGGCGTTGCAACGGGCTCCCCACTAGGTCCAACTTTAGTTAATGAATTTCCCTCTTATTACGAACAGAAATGGCTTGACACCTGCCCAGTTAACTTTAGGCCTGTTCTGTACAGAAGGTATGTGAATGACACTTTTATTCTTTTTAATAATAGTGATCAATGCTCAGAATTTTTAGAATACTTTAGCTCACAACATCCTGCCATTAAATTTACATGTGATGTTGAAAATAATAATAATTTAGTTTTTTTTAGACATGCTCATTAACTAATGGATTTTCCACATCAATTTACAGAAAAAAGATGTCCACTGGTCTTCTTACACACTTTGATAGCTTTATCCCGTTTACGTATAAACGAAACCTTGTTACATGCTTACTAAACAGAGCTTACAAACTGTGCTCCATATATCTTAATCTACACTCTGAAATTTCGTTCTTACATGACATGCTGAAACGTAACTGCTATCCACAACACTTATTAGAAAACATTACCAACACCTTCCTAACAAAGAAACTCACAAATCCAATTAAGATACCAACTGTACCCAAACTTACC